AGGGGTTGGTGGATAGTGGTGATGGGTGGGTGAATTCGAGAGCGTCACTGGCATGCCCACACCACAGCTGGTCAGATAGAAATAGATGAAGCAGTAACTGAACCCAGGAAAAAGGAGGAGCATCCACTTTCCTCAGGGATGCATGGGTGGACAGGGTACCTCTCCTCTTCTCCGTCTGCCTGTCTCTGTCTGAGAAGCCAAACGTTTCAGTCATTACAGAGGGACTTAAAGATTTAGTCTAGCATGCAGCAGGACATTAAACCTAACCTGATGACATTATCATTTATCTGAATTAAAACGGCTTCCAAGATAAATTGTTTCCACTCAAGGCATTACACAGAGCAACTGCCTGAAATCTGACACACTGTTCTAGACATATTTTACATTTATTCTGTCCACACAGCGAAGGTTACAGGTCAATATCAGAACATCAGGCAGCATAAAGGTTTTCCCGTGTATTGCCAATGTAAAAAAAACTATCTAGTGATGACCTAATGGTAAGGATTGTTTCCCACCCTCAGTACTACAGCATTACCCAGTATTCAACACAAACACATGACAGATTATGATTTATCTTTTCAAACAAGATTAAGATATTGACAAAAAAATAAAAGATATAAACAGCTATACCAATAACTTAGAGTGGGATATAGTCTGTCCGTCTCATGTGTTTATTAAAATACTCGAGGTATGCACCAGTTATCACCAGGGTTGTAAATCCTACAGACAGCCAACTTTTTTTTCTCCAAGGAACTTTGTTAGCGGGACACAGACCGTTTTCTACAGTGAATAATATCTTTGTGGTCTATGTTTTTTAGATTTTAGCTGCATAAATGATAAAACCCATAAATCTTTATGGTTGTAATAATAATAAATTATTATGAATTAATGATAAAGTGGTGACTGGTGTGAAGCCAAATCTCATATAATAAATTCCCACAAAATCCAGTATGTGTCTATGAGACATCCTGTCAAAGTTTACTTGAGCAGCACAGTCTCTCCAGATAAGCTTTGTATCAGTATATCATAGACACAGAAAACATGCAAACCAGTTCAGCACAAAACAAGAATCTAACCAGTGCTGATAGAATACGAAAGGGCCTTTAATTTGTATAAAGTGTAACCTACCATCTGTTGGTGTGATACCTACCTCTGCTGCTTTACGTGTCTTGTGCCAGTTGTCCCATTGCGCAGTATTTCCCACCAGAAATTGAAGCGTGAAATAGGAATGACTGTATTTCAGGCAAGTGAAAGTACAAAGATCCAGATTCAGAAAGTCCAAAAACTGACTTGTGTACTCACAAAATTTGTCTTTAATTTGTCCCAATTGTACATCAGGCCACTCCCTGTTAAGTTTGCCAAAATGGTACATGACTTTTCTCATGTGCAAGAGACAAAAAATAAAAAGGCAAAAAAGTTTTCTATCTACGTAGAAGATCTGTAGAGTAATCTGCTTCCATTGTTCAGACTCCCTAACAGCTGCTCGTACCTGTCAAGAAAACAACCACCAATTGCAACAAAGTCCCCCAAATCACTTTGTGCACAGGACCGTCACTCCATCCCCATCCATCTCTCTCTGTGTCTGTCTTTTCCTGTCTATCCCATCCCCCTCTTCCTCCTCTCATCCACCGCTCCATCACGCAGGAAGCCTGGTCTTCCTGAAAACAAGCATCGGACCGTGGAAAGGGGCAAGGCCAAGGGGGGCAGGTACATGAGGGGGAACAGAGGATGTTTTTGTCATTCCTCTGCCCCTCTGGTTACTGCAGGCCTCACTGTAGTCCATCCTGAGGAAGCCGGGCTCACGTCACTCTGACCGGGCCTAGGGCCCACACGTGCTGCCTGGTAGGGCCACTGTGACGCAGCCCAGCAGAAGCCCCTCACACAAGGGAGCTACAAAGAAATATGTGCACTGAAACTGCGGAAAGCATGGCTTTTCGAATCATAATAGCATTAACAAGCACGATAAAGTCAATATGAAATCACATGGACTATAATTCAGTTACACAAAAGAGGTCAAATGTGGTGCAGAAAGATACAGGGGGCTGTGTGTTTTGTCAGAACAAAAGTCTATAATTTTGCCAGCTAACCACACTCCATTTCCTGTATGTAATAGCTGCAAACTGCCAAGGCACCTGCAAGTGTGAGAATTCCTCAGCAGGTGGTTTTCCACCAAGTCCCATTGATTGATTCACAGCACAACAAAAAAAAGTGCACATGCAACTAGTAGATGTTGTTTTCGGCTTACAGTTTCAGTCTCACATAAAAAAAAAAAAATTTAAAAAAAAGCTTCAAATTTGACAAAGATATGGCTCAGCCTTGCACTGCAAACCCCTCTCAACTATATGCTGTCATCATCAGGTAGTACTTGTCATGTCCAGTTTTGGTGGTTTTTAGGTTTTCATTTAAACTGATACTCTGCATGGGGACACATGAAAACTGACTGAAAAATGCATCTATTTAAAACCTGTCTCAAGGATCAGTAAACTCTGGCACCCAGAGTTTGTGCATATACAAGGGCATAGGTTTGCATAATATTTTGGGAGGACAGAGTTGTCCCTACCAATGTTTGAGAGAACTTGTTCGCACTATGTTTGGAGTGAAGTCATATCAGATCATTCCGATGCTGGCCGGGCTCTAGCCGATCGATGAAGTAAATAATTTTAAAACGCAAAACTTCGGCTTTGATGCTGCCTGTCCCTGATTTGTAGTTTCCACTCTGCGGTGTGAAGCAATGTCCCGCCCACAACACGATCTGGTTGGTTAGACGTCACGAGTACTAGCCTGTCACGCTGAAGGCTGCTCTGTACATAGACGGTCACAGACTAGAGCGGCTCAGGTTAACGAGCGGAGCTATGTGTCCAACGCAAGACAGTAGACAAAATGGAGTTGTACGTCGAAGGTAAGACAGCAGACATCGTGAAGTTGTAATAAACATCACAGTCCTCTACACTGAAGTTACAACAACACCACACTCTGACGAACAAGTTCTTCTGTTGGTCCAAGACACACCTGGCAAGAGAGAGAAAGAAGCTAGCGCTAACTGCTAAGCTAATGTAACTAGCTGATCTGAACAGTATGTAAACGACTGCTGAATTAGTGAAAGTCGCCAAACAGAGCAAAGAGCTCTGGGTGCTGGAGCAGAACTAGTGTAAGTTTATATGTACAGCAGGTAGTTTGTCACTGTGATGAAGGAAACAGAACTGTTTAGACAGAGCAGCAATAAACTCTGCCAGTAACAAAGTCTAGAGATGTGACACTACGATGACGTCAGCACGTGAGTACGTCAACAGTCACTAGGTCACTAACTACTTTTACTGAAAAGACATTTTACTGCAGTTGAAGTAAAATCACTGTAAAATTGTTCTCAGATAAAAGTACAAAGTAAGTTATGTCTCTGAGTAAACGTCTTAAATTACATTTTAAGAGGAGAGGTAAAACATATAGTGATAATAATAATATATGGTAAAACTATTAAATTAAAGAACATTTTTAGGCTGCCAGGTGAAACAGTTCACAGGTGAGAACAGCACTGAAATCAACCAATTAATTCCAGTCAGGCACTTTGCAGTTTGTGCATACAACTGATAATTACTAATATACACTCAGTTGTCAGTTTATTACGAGCAGATAGAAAAAACCTATGTAGTATGTGTGTATTCAAACTAGTTCTTACTTAAGGATTAGCTAAGTACTTACATCCAGTAAGTGCCAGGTGTAACAGTCATAGCTAACTGAATTAACGGACAAAACTGGCATTAATTTGCCATAATTATGTTTTCTTAAAGAAGCTTTTTGTAAGTTTTGCTATCGCTACATAGCCAAAATTAGCATAACAGTTGTTTACTTACCGGTCTAGAGGAAATGTTGTGAGTTCACTCAATGTTAACTCTTGTCTCCATCATGTCTTTTCTTCTACTGAAATTAGCATGATAACCAGCTATCCTGGTCCGCCCCGCAACTTTCCAATAGCAACTCACTGTAGCCTCCAGTCTGCCCTGAAGAGACAGTGCTGCCCAGAGGATGTATTATTGTGTTGTAAATGCATCTACGCATATATAAATAAAACTTTTCAGTTCATTTTTTCAGATAGCCAATTGCTTTCCCCGATGAAAATGACCTAATTATAATTTGACAGCTTGTGAGGCTACAGTGAATTCCTGTTTACAGAGTTGAGCGCTTTCAGTTGGAAGGTGCTAGACATTTAGCTAGCAACAATAAGTTTTAATCATGTAAACCAATTTACTACTTCACTATAGTTTGAAATTACTAGTAGTTAACAGGAATTTAGGAGGGACTTAGACTAAATGTAAACATACACATTAAATTAACTGTTAATTTGCCACTCAGAGTAAGTGAATTGTACACTTATCTTATACCTACAGTATACCCTTTGTTTATCATTTTAAATGAACACACTCATTTGAGAACATAGCTTTTTATAGGCTTAAACATGTGAGAACAAGGTGACTGTGAGTGGAGACAGCTCCATGGAGCACAGCCTGAAAGTGACAGAGGCCATAATAACAGGATGTTTACAGCCTGTGGAAACATTGCCAGGGACGACCACGGGCAGGCAGCAACTGTAGCTGGAAACACTAGTGAAGAGGAAATGCAGGCCAGCCAGGTTCCCTCTAGATGCACCAAATATAACCTCACTGAGTGCTGTTTTGTTTACAGACAGATGCAACCTGACCTGGGTCTGTTTTGGTAGATTCGAATCCATTATGACCTTTGAACCTCCACAGAAATCTTTAAAACACAGTTGTGCAAATGCAAGATACTCTGGTTTTTCAGCCTCCCTTTCACACACGCGCGCACACACACACACACACGATGTCTGAAGTGGTCAGCTGCAGGTGACAGCAGACAGAAGGACACTGGTGGTTTCTGACACTGGGGGGGTAAAGCCTATTCACTGTCACCAGTTGTGTCTTTCTGCCCATCAGTGGTCACATATTACACCAGGCTGCAACATCCAGCACAACAGAGTCTCCACGACCATGGCTATCACCGACTTTCTTGCAGCTTCAGACATCAATTCAGCTATCAATGCTTGTAAAGGTGAGGAAGCCATTTTTGGGGGGTCATATTGGGTTATATATTGAAATATTTGTTCTTGTCCCAGGAGGTGAGGCCTTTGGTTATGCATTTCACTGTAATTACATGATACTTCGGGGGAATAGGGATGCTAGTTGTTGCCTACTGTGCATCAATATTTTAATTTACTTGATCTAATCAAGTTTTATCTGTTGTTTCACTTTCAGCGAAGGATTCCTTTAGCCCAAAGATGTTTTTCAAAACTGTGGGTTTATCCAAGAAAAGTCCAACAGAGATCGAGCGGGTCTTTAAGATCTTGGACCAGGACAAAAGTGGCTACATAGAGCAGGATGAGTTACAGTTGAGTTTTATACAAATATCCCATGTATATGAATATGCACACCATCTCATGTATCAAGCTGTACTTCATCAAAATGTTTTCTGAGAACAGAAAAGGACGATACTTTCTGTACACTTGAGCTGCGGTATTGGGTTTCTATCAGATGCAGCACATTTATTTATTTATATATTTATTTTGTTGGATGTTAGGATGTTCTCTTACTGTGGTGTTACCTCCCCGTTCTCCATCAGACTGTTCCTGCAGAACTTTGCCAAAGGAGCCAGGCCCCTGACCGCAGCTGAGACCAGAGCTTTCCTCCTGGAGGGAGACTCAGATGGAGATGGGAAGATCGGCTGGGAAGGTAGGCAGGTCTGAGGGGCACTTATCTATAGGTGCTGCATTGTATTTTCTGTTTTGTTTGTTGCTATAGGCAACTGAAGTGCAGGTACAACAATCACCTCACACAATGTGTCACTGCCAGAATTACAGACTTCATTATGTTAGGTCTTTTTGTAGCTGTTGGAGATGGATGCAGGAAGATGCTGTTAGCAGAAGAATTTGTAGGAAAAGGACTTTATAATTCAGCTTTTCTTTCTCTTTTTCCAGAGTTTTCTGCACTGGTCAAGTCTTCATAAGGCCTGCACAGTCTCTTGATGATATGTTGTACGGTGATGATCTCAGGATGAACTTCTTTTTATAATGTTTAGCTACAATAGTTCAGATGGAAAATTATGTAATATAGTAATTCAAGTAAAACACAAATTAAATATTGCCTCTCTGCTATGTTTCTTTCCCTGCCAGAAGAGTTTATAAATAAATCTACTTTTCGCCGTCAAACATGAATGTGTTTTTTGTCTGCTTTTGCCTTGTCAAGATGAGCTGAAGTCTCTCTCATGTGTTTATGTTACATTGAGCACTTTAAGAGGTCCGGCCTCTCCAGGGGCTCAGGGGGCTTCAGTTTCTCCAGTTAACAACATGAGCAGCTTTCCGCTGTGAAAATGACACGTTTGTCATTCTGGCAACCTCAGCCTGACGACTTAGGTGGAAGAGTATGGTGTGAATTATGTTTACACTTACACAACATGTACTCAAGATCTAGCCTATTTTCTTTTAAATAATTGTGTAGGTGAAAATATCTTATTTGAAAGACTATTTTATTGTTTACTACCATAAAGCTTAGTAAATTAAGACACTTTGTGCCCAAATATCGCTCCAGCTGTGAGTCAAGTTATTCCATTTTGTCATCATCTCTTCACCATGAAAACTATGTTACAGATGTTACCATTTTTTAATAATAGACCATCTATAAATCTGAGTCTTTGAAATTAGTTTCTGAAATAAAAGTTTGTGTCTTCAGAGTCTCTAAAGCATAAGGCCACTCTTCCTCCACAAATATAATAAATATGAATACTATACTGACGTTAACTCTGTATTGACAACAAGAACATATCTGTCTATTGACTGTGTAGGTGAAACGGAAAATGTCACAATATATTTGTTCTTTTTAAAGATTAAATTAACTCAGTTTTTTAATTTGAAAGAGAATATTTTTGCGTTACATTTCGCTGCAGGGAAGTTGTTTGATTTGCTCTTGTAGTGGATGACATCAGGACAGTATTCACTGGCTTTTTGGCACTGTGGTCTTAGCCACTGTGTAGGCTTGAAATGTTTATTGGTGTGATTGCAGATGGGGGGGGGGGCAGAGTTTTGGCCCTGCCTGGTGCAGACTGTTGGATCAAAGGCAGCTCTGGCAGACAGAGATGGGGGGGTCTGAGAAAACAGTGATAGGGGGACTGGGTGTCTGGCAGAGCTTCAGCAGTGCTGGCCCGAGGAAGCCGAGGACTTGCAGTGACCCAGCAGAGGAGCTCGGGGACAGGATAGAGTTTCTGGGCCAGAACATTCACAGGACTTCTGTCAGTGCGGCACATTTATTTGCAACTTTCTCTCAGATGGCAAACCACTGCTCTGCTGGGAAGAAGAGGGTGACAGGAGAATATGGGTCACTTCTATTTCTGCTGCAGCGTGAGGGGGCAAACACCTATGAAAACTTTCAATTCTTATCAGGAAGTTGATATTTTAGTAAGCAAGTAATTTACTAACCCTAGATGGTTATTAAACCAGGGGAACATGAGGTTTTGATTTCTAAATATTCCACAAATTTGCAACAAAAGAGAATTTCAAATATAAACGTCAGAATATGATGGCGGAGCATCCCTCACTTTCTCGAATTACAGACGTTCATAGCCTTTCTTAATGGGTTTCATCTCTGCTGTGAGATATTTGTAATTTAAGCCTGATATTGAAGAAGGGCAGGAATAGTTACAGTATCTAGGGCCCAGTCGTTTGAGGTGAGAGACCTCATTTGACCACAGCAAATGTTAAAGGCCAAAGATTAGTTTTACAGAGCTTTTAAGAAGATTTGAAATGAAAAGGAAGCAGAGTGAAATTAAAAAAAAAAACAAATGCTGGCTGGGGAGAGAGCATACGTGTGAAACCACTAAAGTGGAGGGAGTGACCAATTAGACAACATACTTAAGCTGCACTTAAATTGAGAACTTATTCAATGTAAATAGGTGGAAACTGAGTGTTTTCAATATAGGCTTTATCAGAAATTTCACGCATACAGTAAAATGTAGGGGGGTATTTCAATATTAACTCATGTTAGTCACAGCATCATCTCAATACTGCCACCTGATGTATAATAGGCACACGACAACCTGCAGCCTCATTGGAGCAAACATGGGCATGGAAAGACCCCTGGACCAGTTACTTATTTCATTTCATTGTTTAGAGCAGTGTGAGAACCGCGCCTTACTACACCAAGGCACTCAAGTGTTAAGATGATGGTATGATATCAACTTTCAATGTTTCCTCAAATAGCATCTCAAATAGTTTCATTGCCTAAATGATCTGAATGGGTGTCAGAGGTCATAAAAAATAAGAAATAAAACCTGGTGGATGATCCTATGTAGGACTGCTATAAATTAAAGCACTTCACTGAATCCCTCCAGCCAAATCCCACCCCACCCTAGTGTGATGTACTGTTTATCTCATCATCTTGTGTTTGTTTTCATTATTCATGTCCCCCTTTTATTCATTCATACACCTTATGATAGAGATTTCATTCACATGAAAAAAAATGCATTAAACTTTGCAGAAAGAGCCCTTCAAAATGATGCACTGCTCCACTGCAACAGCAACTTCAGTGATACAGGGAAACGTGAACCCTATTTATTCTTTGAAATAATGAGAAAAGAGGTTGGAAATGTAGCTACAGGTCTATATTTTGTTTGTTTATACATATACTCTGCTTGAACTTTGATTTGTTTAGATGTGAGTAAAGCGCTAAGTTCAGCACGGCTGACACGGCTTTCTGCAGCTTCAGTTTATTTTCTGTTTGTATACTATCCCAGTTGGTCGAACGTCTCATGTCCACAAATGTTGAGCCAAATGCAAGAACTGCAATATATATTATATTATATTATATTATATTATATATGCATTCATTGGATAAATTCATGTTACAATCTGTGTAAAAATCTAAATATCTAAACACATAAACACATATATCTTAAAAAAGATTCGGTCACAATATCACTATCGCCTGTGACAATCAATCACAACAACTTGACACTTTTCTGACACTGGAATGCCAGCAAAGTCATTGCAGACATTTTACGCATGCCAATTATGCACAGGCTCGTTTTCACCAAAACTGTTCAGTTCAGAGGGCACGTGTGGGTCATTAATCACCACCGGTGATTATGGTATAGAAGTTCAGGTTATGCTTTGCTATAGGCTGCATACATCAGCAATACTTACACTGTGTTTTAGTCACCATTTTTTTATTGAGGAAATCTCTTGGAATAAATAAAATACGGACTCATTCGACAATACAAAATAAAAGAATGTATACAATATATTTTATCTGTCATCACAACTATGACAATAAAAATACAATTTAAAACTTAAAAACCATCAAAAACTATTCGAAACTTTATATTACTCATGAGAGAATTATTTCGTTCAATCTTTAAACTTCTGAAACCTGACCGACAGGAGAATAAGTTACTGTAATAACTTACACTATACATAGCAGCTTGATCTGTCTGATCATTCGTAATGATAACCATAGACAATATAAAGGTTTACCTCATTCTCCACTCCGTTGTGCTCTGCAGAGTTTAGCAGATCAAAACTACATGGTCACAGAGAACGTTTCACCCAAATCAGCAGCGTATATTATTAGCCCTATGCAATATCAGGCACTTTTGCATAGGCCTACACTTAGCCTACCATTTAAGCATCTTCATTTATGTAGATATAAATAGACCAGCTCTGTCTACTGGACACATTTTTCGACCAACTGCTTTGACTGCTTTGCACACAGTGTCTATTACATAGCCTATGCATCATATTTCGGGTGAGTGAAGGTATATAAGCTTGTGGGAGTCGCTGAGGGCTTCACTGCAGTGAGCAGATTCATCAGATTCATCAGAGCGAATCCACTCTAGTCTTAGAGGTAACCCAGAGGTGAGTTTCACTGAAGAGCTGCAGACCTTTAGTCAGGACCACTGCCTGACTCACAGAGTGTGTTTCAGGGCTTCAACTTCATGCAACGGGATATAAATCGAGGAAAGGGCTTCACAGGGCCAGATTCTGAACATCAGAAGCTCAGAGTTTGGCTTTGGACTAACTAAGGAATTAAATGGAAAAAATCTATTTGCCAACCAACCACAGCTGCAAAGGATATTTGATCTTTTGCCTTGGAGGGCTTGGTTTTGGGGAGAAAAAAAAAATTGGACTACTTTTTCTGATCATTTGTGCCTTGGAATACTCAAAGAGAGGAACTATGAAATGCATTGCATGGCATAATGAAGATTTCATGTAGCTTTGTAACTTTGAAAACTGATTTGAAGTGCTAGTGAAGAAACTTAACAGGGTTAGATGCAAAGTAAAACTGTTTCATCCTGTCTGATTTGCTGCAGCTGAACTGATGAAGTGATGACTTGTCCTCTGCTCTCCTCCCTCAGTTAAAAATGGCATTCGCCGGAGTTCTGAGTGACGCTGACATCACTGCAGCCCTTGCAGCTTGCCAAGGTAAACCCCTCACACCCGTCACCACATACGGTATTATAACTTGGGACATCAAAGTAGCTACACACACACAAAATCATGCACTTAAGCAAATCTGCTCTGCAAGAGAAGGACCTGGAGTTCTACATTACTCATTTGTAGCTGAGTGTCTTGCTGCAAAGTGAAGCTGCTGATGCAGTATCACCAGATAACAGTATAACCTGATCACAATAACAGTCATGCATTTAACACTGCAGGATAATCCTTTTAAGCACTTCTTGGATGCTGGGTCAGTGGTGCAGCAAGCATGCAGAATATGACTTTAATGTAATTTCTGTATGTCTCAGAGAGCATGTATCCTAATGTGTATCAGTATATCTGCTGTAAGAAAAGCACCTCTGCAAGGTTAAGCTAAAATGCAGACTGACAGTCAAAGCACAAATTGAAGATGAACAGAAACCAGCTGCTGCGCTCCTTTTATTGTAAAAGAAAGGAAAAGGAGTGCAGCTCTGTGTGTGCTCTTTGCACGGTGTCTGATACAATCCTCCCTCTGTCTCCTCTCAGCTGCCGACTCTTTCAAGCACAAGGATTTCTTTGCTAAGGTCGGCCTGGCAGCCAAGTCCGCCGATGACATCAAGAAGGCCTTCGCCATCATCGACCAGGACAAGAGTGGCTTCATTGAGGAGGAGGAGCTGAAGTAGGCATCCTCTCCTAGATTTCATCTCGAGCTCCTCGGGCTTCTTGTAGCACAGGGATAATCTTTCTTTGGCCCACAGTGACTTCACAATGATGTCAGTGCCTTAAAGCATCAGAGAATATTGGGCTACCAGGTGTTCTCCTCAGGAGTAACTCGATGCCTGCTCTCTCCTCTGGTGTCTCGTGTTGTAGGGTGTCATAGACAAGAGGAGGAATCAGAAGGAACGCAGCTTGAATTTTTGGTCCAAATCAAGTGCATTGTATTCGTTTGAAATGAGAAATCCCAAATGATCTAGAGCTAAAAGCAACAAGGATCCAGTGAATAATCCTTTAGGCTTTGGAGATAAATTGACACCTTTGAAACCAATAGATTCGGTGCAGAAAATGCATGTTGTTGAATGAATGTTATTTATTCAGCATTTCTCAATGATTGTCCTCTCCAGGCTGTTCCTGCAGAACTTCTCTGCCGGTGCCAGAGCTCTGACCGACGCTGAGACCAAGACTTTCCTCAAGGCCGGTGACTCTGATGGTGATGGCAAGATCGGAGTTGATGGTGAGAAAATGTCTCCTTTTAACACAAGATGAATCATATTTATTGGCTTCAAATGAATGTCAAACAGCCCCCCCCAAGATCTTGAAATAACACTGGAAATTCTCTCTGTCTTTGTCTCCCCGCAGAGTTCGCTGCCATGGTCAAGCATTAAATGAATGAAATGACCAACATCTTACTTCACAACTCTAAAGGAACAACTTGAGCCAAGACGTACTCCTCCACTCTTCTCCTCTTCCCTCTCACTCTCTCTCAAATCTCCACACCACTTTTATACACATGACCTTCCACCCCCGACCATAAACTACCTGCTCCCTCTCTCTCTCTCTCTCTCTCTGGCCCTGCTCACATCTTTGCTGTCCACATTGAATGTACCTGACTAAGTGTATAGCATGGTTGACTTGTGTCTTTTTCTCTCTCTCTCTCACTTCTGTCGTCGTTTTAGTCTGTGAGTTTTGCTTACTGTGAGATCAGTGATGATGCACTTTTATGGGAAACGGACGGACGATGGGAAAACAATAAAGGTTCTTTTTCAATAACTCAAGTCTGACCCTGGTCTTTAATACGCAGTTGCAATCAAAGAAAGCCGCAAAGAATAGCTTGCCTCACGAAAAATGCACCTCTTTACCTGCGAGCACAGATGACAGTGAAAGTAATACACTAACAGTTGAGGAATTGGTCTCAACATTTAATGCTTACGGTTCAGGTGAATTTTGCAGTAAATCTGACCTAAAGATAACAATACTATTTAGATCAATCCTAAAAATAAAAAAAAAATCCATCCTAAATGACCACAGCAGAGCAAATGAGACACATGCAAAACTGTTTCTTTTTGGAGGTTGCTGATGTCAAATTATGTTAAAAGTAAGTAATGCTAAGTGCCAAACATTTAGCTAAAGGCTGATAATGCTATTAATAATGTTACAGCACACAATATCAGTGTATTGATATTGAGCAAGGGTCAGTTTTATTGCTCACAAATTCAACTTTTCTGTCTGTAAGGGGAGAAATGTGTTTTCTCCTCTTCCAAAAGTTACATAATCACACTTTAAAAATGGCCTTTTACACTATCAACATCATCATCGTCATCTTGCTGTGGTGATGTGATGCTAGTATAAGATTTACCCTCTTAATCTAGACTCTGATGCGTAAGCACACTCGCACGCGCCCGACTCTTGCCCTACTTAATCCAGCTCTCATCCCCATACAGTGTGAGGTTAAGCTTCTTCCCGCGGTCATGCCCTGCGGTGATGGGTAGCAGCCACAAGATGGCACCTCTAATCTGTAAATGAGTCACAAGGGTTTCAGATGCCTGATGGTTTTACATTGCAAACTTGGAGAATTAGATGTTCATGTTGATTTGCTTCCTAAACTTCAGGCGAGTAAGGGTCTGAAATCAGAGGTTCCCCGCATGTGAAACTCTGAAGAATAATGAGATTTATTCCCTTGGTTCTCATTACAAAAAGACTCCCTCCCCTCTCTGCTAATGCTATTAGTGCTGACTGGATTCACCGGAGATGCTGCTGTGTCAGATGGTTGGAAAGGCTTCCCTCTGCAACAGACTCATCAGTTTAGAGTGGACAGTTGCCATGGTAACCAGGTGCAACACCAAAAAAACTCCACCCACGCCCCCCCCCCTCACCCTCACCTCACAGAAGGTCAGGTGTGTGTGTGTGTGTGTGGTCCTGAGCTCATATGTGTGTGACAGCATTTCCAGATGAAAACCATCATAACCCACAAAAGTCACGCAGCATCTAACCGTTGTTACAGCAGTGGCATAAATCAAACACTCACATATTATTAAAACTAAATATGTTGTCTTGGTAAAAGCTGTATACTTTGGAGTGACAGTTCTGCTTTTAGTTCACAATCCAGACTAATTTCCATAAAGTATTTCCTTTTTTTTTTTATAACTTCCTTTCCCTCTGAGGACACTGTGAGAAAATACTAATAGGATACCATTTAAGCTCTTTACAGAAAACAGAGGTCACTTTTACATTGTCTTCAGCTTAAGTAAAATTTATACCTAAGCCCTCTTTCAACCTGTTAAGCAGGCTTATAGGTAAATAAAATGCACCCCAGACAGACAGACAGTGAGGTTTTTGAGCTTGTAGCTCTGATATCAGTGCAACACATAATGTAAGATTACTGATGAGGATAACAATCCCCTGGTGAGTCATAAGATGATTTATGACCTGCTGCTCCCTATGGTCATCTGAATTTAGGAGATTATTCACTAAAACCAAAGACAGAAAGGGGACCTGATTAAATTTTAGATGTGTGTAAGCTCTTACATGCACCTGCAGAGAGAGAGGGAGAGAGAGAGAGAGAGGGGAAAGGGGAAGGGAGGGGAGAAAAGGCAATGTAACACGGGGGGGAAAGTTGATTGGACGAAACCTCACAGTTATGACAGCGAGGGAGAGAGAGAGAGCAGTGTGTAGCGGATATAAACAGCAAAGGTTAATTGGGCAGGTGAGCAGGTGAGGAACTCGAGAAGGAGGCGGCAGGCTGCGGGAAAATTTGATCCTCCAGCATCAGTCAGCGCATCCAGCCCTCTGTGTATATATAAGACTGAGCCAGCTGTCAGCTGCCACCACAAAGCCTTATCTGCTGCTGCTGCTGCTGCTGCTGCTGCTGCTGCTGCTGCTGCTGCTGCTGCTGCTGCTGCTGTTTTGGACCTGGACGGAGAGGAACCCGAGCCAACAGCGGTGAGTCCCACAGCTGTATGGGGGAAACTCTCAGTGCAGGTGTTGGCCAGGTGTGCTGCCTACCTGCCTGGGTGACAGAGCCTGTAGCCTACACTCCACTTTTTTCACTGTTGCAGGGAGTTTACTCAAGTTTTAGAAATGTTTAGCTGTGTGTGAAATTCTTTGTTAGCCTACAAACAAGTATTTTTACCATCAAATCCTCTAAGGAGTGAAGTGACAAGATGTGTTTTTAAACTGTTAGGTCAATAATACGATTTGTTTTTAGCTCACCAAATATTCACTACTCTAAACTAGATGATGAAAATAACATAAAAAAACAATATATGTACAAACACAAGATAATATTGGGACTGTGCTAAAATTACTTTACTTTACTACAGAAAGTTGTTTGTTTTTAATTTATGCTCAAATAACTGTCAGTTTTTGTTTTTTTTATTTACTCTGCTGTGAAAATATTTAGTTGTTGAAGTTCATCAGCACCAATGTGACTTGGCCCAGCTGACTCATTCTGTAAGAGGCCTGAACAGCTCAAACTTAAGGGAGAGTCCAAGGAAATAATAATAATAATAATAATAATAATAATAATAATAATAATAATAATAATAATAATAATAACACTGCTGGGGGGGGGGGGGGGGGGCTCTTGCTGCTTTTTTATCAGATAAAATGTAAAATTGCCCCTCTGCTATCACACCCTGCTCCCCAGTGATTTTTGTGCAGTCCCTAAATGCCAATTATTTTGTACAGCCCAACCAAGCCGATTAAGGGCAGCAAATACTCTCAGTAATTAAGAGGCCACCAGGGGCAATCGCATCAGGAGCACAATTAATCAAGAATGAATCATAACATAATTAATTATGAATTTATAAGATAGAATACATGAAAACCACAAGTATAACTCTAAATCTTTTTTTTTTCCTCAAGCATATTTGCCAAACAATCACTGCTGGAGTTTTGATGGGATCATAATATTAACCTAGATACATCGGCAAATGCGAAAAAGTTAATCCAGCACGACACGGAAATAGACTGAGTTCAATCAAAAAGCCTGAAGTAGGTGAAGAAAAGGTGTTTGACAGAGAGAGAGAGAGAGAGAGAGAGAGAGAGTGTATGTGTGAATAATTTACTGAGCTGTCCTTTTACACTGCAGGACCAACATGTCGCTCACCTCCATCCTTTCAGCTGAGGCCATTGAAAATGCTGTCAAGGACTGTCAAGGTAGTATTTCATCACAGTCACACGCACACACACACACACACACACACACACACTGGACCAATCCCTGCTTTGGCAATACTTGAAACTACTCATTATCAAATTAAATGCCAGCACGCTGTCCACCGCTCAGCAGATTATGCAAAGTACATGACTCCTCTATCTGCCACTTCAACGTGATGATAATACTTTCACAGGATCAAAAGCTGTAATTAACTCAGTTAATTCACACGTAATTTTGATCAATCAATCCTGATCTGCAGTTGGTAAATTGAACTCAGAACTCACACGGAAAGGTGCATAATCTTCTCTACAGCTGCATTGTTTTCATTATTATACAGTGTCCTCTCCTCTAAAGTCATATCCAGCTTTGAATAAAGGGCGATGAAACCTGAATTTGGAAAGGTTTTTAATCACGGTGGCCTGTGTCTGCCGGCCTTAAAAGATAAAATCAGGGGTTGAAAATCTGCCACCTGGACAGCGGCCACATGATGTTTTAATCTCCACATCAGCTCCCAACCTGGTGGACCTCAGCTCTAACCCCACTCTTCCTGTTCCTGTTCCTTTTTTTTTTTCTCGTTATGTTCATTACGTGTTAATGTGTTTTCAGCTCCGGACTCATTCTGCTACAAGAAGTTCTTCCAGCTGTGTGGCCTGTCCTCAAAGACGCCCAAGGAGGTCAAAGATGTCTTCCAGATCCTCGACGAGGACAACAGCGGCTTCATCGAGGAGTCTGAGCTCAAGTGTGTGACACTTCCCTCACCTGCAAGCTTTTGGTCCTTTCCCTACATATACAGTAATATGCTTAGTGATGCTATTGCTGTAATTCTTATTACCTCCAGTCACAGGAAACACCCAAAATAGCTCATTCTTGCTTAAAAACTACTTTAAAAGTTGTTTTCAAATAGAATAGTTTTCAGTATAATTCACCTCTGTATAACAAGAGCTGTGGGTTGAACTATGTGTTATGTATTTTTAAATGCATCTCTGCATGTGTCAGTGAAAAGTCAACTCAAAAACTACCTGTATGTGTGTGTATGTGTGTGTGTGTGTGTGTGTCCAGGTACTTCTTGCAGCGGTTCATCCCCGGGGCGCGGACACTGACTGAGGCAGAAACCAAGAGCTTCATCTCAGCAGCTGATGATGACAGTGACGGCAGAATTGGAGCAGAGGGTCAGTGTCTGATTTCTCTCGATCGTATTTTTAAAACTCCTGATGTAAGAAGAAATTATCTCAGTGGTTGGATTAAATCTCAGTGGCTCAGTGCATCTTAAAGCACTTTTAGCCCCCTGTGAAAATGCATTGTTGCCATTGTACGTTATTAGACAGACTATCTAAATTCATTCAGTGCCAACTACCAGTCTTTTGCTAAATGGAATATATTAGCTTTCAAAGATCTGGGATCATACAGTGAAGATTTTTTCTTTACCTTTACCTTTATATATTGAGTGCTATTGAAACGCACTGCCTCAGGCTTCTTTACTTACAGTAAATAGGGGACTGACTGTAAGAATAACAAGCAGAGGTTGACAAAATATTTGTAGTGACAAGCAATGCAATTGATAGAAGCAACACAACAGTGCAATAATTTAAGCATTTTACTCCAGAGGGATGTTTAAAGGCTCCTTTGAGCTCAGACTTAAAATCATGAAAATGTTTCTTTGGTGCAGAAAGTGCTTGAAGTTATGTTGGTGCCTTCGGGGTCTTTGTTTAACCAAGTTGCTTCAGGTTCGTCAGTGCAGGAACCACATGCCTAGACACTAGAAGTCATGACCTCCATGCTTATCCCAGTTTTGCACATCTTCCAGCTACTAGTAATATCTAAGCTCAGCTGTATTACATAAAAGGATCAAGTGTTTGGACAAAAAGATGATTTCTGTCTGTTGCTTTGTCTAGTGGCTCGATCAAAGGTCAATTAAAGGTCCCAGTGTCTATCATACACTCACAGATTCTGCATAAGGTTGTTGTTATTTTGGAGAAGAGCCATTTCAACATGCTTCTTTTTTCTCTAGAATTCCAGACAATGGTCCTGTCCTGAGTTTTGCAGATGAAGATATCTCAAGTCGTCAGGTCCTCAGTCTCCTCCCCAACTCCGGAGTCAAATGATCCCAGCTTCCATCCCCAAGTCCTTTTCTACCAAATTCTGTGTGCATTAATTGTTTTTGAATGACCTTTTGTCCATTTAAAAACAACAGACTTTTAATTTGTCTTTCCACTGTGATGGTCCATGTTTTCTTGTCTGTGCATGTCCCACCTCTGACAATGAATGAGATAAATAAACATGTGGAAGCATACATTGCCTCTTTATGCCTGCCCCTTGTTATTCGTGCATCCTCACCAATGAAATTAAGTGAAATTCATAATGCAATATTTGATTCTTATTTGAAAATAGAGCAGTTTCATATCATGGTACATATAATATTCTAATATGAATTTCAAATACGAAGACATAAATTAATCATTTACACCAAGATGACTTTTAGAGACAAACTGCAGCCTAAAGTTGTTGACATGCAGCTCAGGAATACACAGTACTGTGCATACATTTCAGGCATATTTAATAAATAATGACACCAATAGTTGTTATTGATCAATTAACTTAATACAGAGTGCAGTAAACAGAAAAAAACCTAAATTAAATCAATATTTGCTGTGTACAGAGTGAATTTGGGACCGATCAGATAACTCCCTGATGGTGTTGCAAGATGAATAAGAACATAAAAGTGTGTGTAGTGTATAAGTGTATTATTCATAGCTCATAAACTTAAATATTCTCAATTATGGAATTTGATTTAGGTGTTAGTTTAGTTAGGGTTTTCAAGGTTTCGATTTTTTTTATAAAAAAAGATATAAAGTGGAGTGATTTGAAAGTAAATGTGAGGTATAACTTAAGCAAAGAGCTGAACATGGAGATTTAAGTTACAATTGTCTTTCCAATATTATATACATAGTATATAATACAATTCAAATAGAGAGTGTCACTGGGTGTTTCACTAGGTTTGTTAACAAACTCCACCAAACCAAACAGCACAGTGTGCCAGCATTATCTCCATTGTGCAATGTAGAGCTGCAGGTCGATGTAACCAAAGATGTAAACAAAGTGAAATTGAAACCAAAAAACTGTTTAGTTAAGTGAAGATGAAAACGTATTGAAAAATGTGTCCTTTAATACAACAGACGTTACCAACAGTTCTTAACACTCTCCTTTTCCTTGTGGGGACTAGGAACCTTTATTTGGTTAGAAGCTGCTTCTACCCGAACAGATGCGTTTGTGACACCGCGCTGTCAAAAGCAGGAAGTTAAGAATGTAAAGTATAATGCGGCGTCTCCTCTCATTGATCTCATTTCCTCATTTTTTATTTTTATTTACGCTGTCTACAACCACAAGCACCTGAAAGCGTTGTGTGTATTCTCCGAAAGGTGAGTGTTACCGTCGTGTTATTCCGTTACCGTCTCGGGTTTCCTCCCCGCCTGGACCTCAGCAATCACAACTCTACTGCTAGCAGAGCCAGCTAGCCCGCTAGCTGCTCTGACTGACTTGACTTCACATCGGCTGGTTGTTGACTTGGTAACCGTTAATGTAAAGTATTTGAGCTCGTTAACTCACGGGTCTTTTTTAATTCAAATTATCATTCACATAAACAGCCGGTGTGTGAAGACATCGAGGTGCTCTAGTTCAGCTCGTGGAGACTTTACCGGTTAAACGACAGCGGGAATCTCTGCTAAATTTAGTTACCATATGTGGACACAGTGACAGTGACAAAATATGAAACAAGGGGGGGAATCAACAATTAATCAACTACTATAATAAAGTAAAAACAACCGCACTGAGCTTTTTCCTCCACTGAATTTATCCAGCGCTTCTTAACTTACTTTCAAGTTAAGATTTTAGCGTTTTACTCAAAACCTTAATAATATTAAAAGGTAATTAAGTAAGGTAAGTAGTTGGACCGACATTAATAAATCCTACATTAACCACTTTTCAGAATGAGTACTTTTGCTTTTGATATCAAAGTATATTTTACTGCTAAAACTTAAATTCATGTGCAAGATACTGATCCACCATATCAGCAGAACTGTGCATCCTTAGTATAAATACCTTATGCACCTCCAGCTTTGACCTTCTGCACATCAACTATACTCAGTGTGTGTCCACCCATCAGTTACTCATTAGTTAATTATTTTTATCTCTAGATTTTACATGCTTCAGTATGTGATGTACCTTTCTTCATTCTGCAGGAACACGGCATGCTAACCAAACTGTCTTTGGAGCAAAGGAGGTCCAGACACAAGTTACACTAATGCTGATGATCAGGTAAAGATGACATTGATGTAACCTGGAGGAAATCTGGTGATGTTTCAGCTTTTATCTCGTCATCAACTTTCTCTTTGTGTCTGTTACAGTCCCAGAATGGCCTCAGGAATGCAAGAGAAACAGTACACACCATCTCTGCTTAGTTTTTTCATTTATAACCCCACATTTGGACCACGGGAAGGAGAGGTGAGCTTGACTCCCAGAGGAAGAGTTGTTATGCACGTGTTTTACACCTGAACGACACAAGTAACACAACTTCCTTTTTTTAACTTAATAGTCATTAAGAAAACCTTTTTATTTGGTCATTGCATTGCTAATGCAAAGAGTCTTTTTTTTAGGAAGAGAAGAAGATTTTGTTTTACCACCCCAGTGAGGTCGAGAAGAATGAGAAGATCCGAAATGTGGGCCTCTGTGAAGCCATTGTACAGTTCACCAGGTAAGAGATCTTAATACTGTACTTTAAACAGAGAGCATGGTGGCACTTTTAGCTGATTGTCTCGCTTTGAGTGTGTCTCCTTGCTTTTCACAGTCATGTCTTTTTGTCTTGCAGGACCTTCTGTCCGACAAAGCCAGCTAAATCCCTGCACACACAGAAGAACCGGCAGTTTTTCTTCGAGCCTGAGGACAGTTTCTGGATAGTCATGGTATCTTAAAGGCTTACATGTACATTAGTGGTTCAGCATTTACTGTTTGTCTAGACTTTGTTGACTGTCTTTGGAATGTAATTTAGTTTTACCTCGCTAATCCCTTTTTATTTGCTATTCCTCAGGTGGTTCGAAACCCAATGATCGAGAAACCAAACAAAGATGGTAAACCTCCCACAATAGAATATCAGGAAGAGGAAATACTTGTGAGTCCCGAGAGATACTCCCGGATGTCTTCATGTCATTTTCTTAAAATATTGGCAGTTTTACATTCTACTTACCATTCCCTCTTGTCTCTGTAGGATACTGTTTATGGCGCTGTCGTAAGACAATGCTACAGCATGTACAAGGTCAGTTCAAGTATGTTTTAGATAATATTAGCTGTTATGCTTTTATGCAGCTTTTCTCTTTTGCATATGTAAAGTGTATAATGTTTTTTTTTTTCTTATTCTAAAAGCCACTAACCACCATACCTCAAACTACCAATTTATTTATAATGCAAGAAGAATTGTTTTGTTATAATAATTATTGTCTTTACGCTGTAGCTCTTCAATGGCACGTTCGGCAGAGCAATGGAAGCAGGTGGAGTGGAGCTGCTCACTCAGAAGCTTGAAAAATTCTTCTACAGGGTAAACATCTGTCCACTTCTTACTTTGTTGCTAGGTGGATATGTATATTGACCCTGCTTTGACGACATGATTAATTTTAATACAATAATGCACAGACAGTTATTTATAAAAGTCAGTCAAGCCTGAAGTAAGTGTTTTCACAAGGTTTGGCCTCTTGACATAGATTTACTGTTGTTGTTTCTTTGTAAATGCTCATGTTACTCTTAACAAAATTTTGAAAATGTTTGCAGTCACGCCTGTTTTCTCAATAATAATCTCTCTACATCAGCTGTCTTCACCTCATGCTACTGTCGACTTGCTGGAACAATGCAGCTATAAAGCAAAACACAAAGTATAAAAAATTCATTTCTAATTAGGGAATACCCTTCTTAAGTTAACACAGGCTTCCCTCTCCACCATGTAACTCAAAGACAGAGAGAAAGAGAGAGGCTGTGGTGTGCGTATCAGAGGTTGAATGTCAGTGCTTCTCTGCCCCAGGATGATGCAAGTGTCTGTGCAGAGGGCCAATCACAGAGTTTCTTATTCTGCTTTCTTTATTGCACTGTAAGGAGGCACTTGTAGACGTGTAAACTAACCCCCTTTCTTCTTACCTTCTCCTGTGTCTTGTCATTTTGTCATGTGTCTGTGTGTGTGTCTGTGTGTGTGTTCATTCTGGGGTTTCCAGTATCTGCAGACTCTCCACTTGCAGTCCTGTGACCTTCTGGATGTATTTGGAGGCATCAGCTTCTTCCCACTGGACAAGATGACTTACCTGAAGATCCAGTCCTTCGTCAACAGAGTGGAGGAGAGCCTCAGCCTGATCAAATACACAGCCTTCCTGTATAACGACCAGCTTATCTGGTAGGGACTGAGTGCTTGTTGAAAATTTGTTCTAAACTGTGTGTGACTGTTCCTGACATCCACCATCTGTAAGGGTTCATGGTTCCCACAAACTTATACAAAAATCAAAGCACCAGCATCTGCAAACACATCATGGCATGCTGGGTAAACAGAGGTGGCTTTAAACACAATGTCTAATCCTCTTTGCGGTTTATGTGCTCCCTGACATGTCACTTGCCTTTAATTGCGCTGTGAGCCATCCGGTTCTGAGTATAAGCACAGGGGGATTACGTGATTGCTAATGAAATGGCTTGAGAGCAGTGTGATCTTTCAATGTGAACTGTGAGTAGACAAACAGAGAAGCTGTTTAATTATTGTCCAAATTAAGCAGCTGCAATGTGTGCTTTCATGCTCAACCATGGCTGAACTGTAATTACAGCCAGGGGACACTTTGATTTAACATCTTAACTGATGATGCAGAGCACAGGTTGCAGTACGTTGAAAAATATACGGGTCACACTTTTTAGATTTGCATATATTTTTTTTCTCAGTCTGGTGTGAAGGTTAGGAGGTGTAAAGGTTTTGGTTTTATCTGCAGGAGCGGACTGGAACAAGATGACATGAGGATCCTGTACAAGTACCTGACCACCTCGCTGTTCCCCAGACACTCTGAACCCGAGGTGAGGAGATGGGAGTGCACAACGGACAGATAAAATGAATAGCTCAGGGAAGTGTGGGAGACAAATTGAGGACATTATGAAAGCAACAAAGGAGCAAGGAGTTTTTATGTAGAATGTTTTGTGCTGCTAATGCTGCAAATGCTCAGCTTCTCCCCTCTCGTCATCTCATAGAATTTTATATTTACAGCACTTACAT